TTTGCTCATTTGGATCAAGTATTGCAAGCATGCCTGGGACAGTCATTCTGTGGCTGAGAACACAGACTGACTCAGGGAGAAAGAAGGGCCATGGTCGGCAGGAGGAGATGGACCCGGGCACCCATTACTCACCTGCTGAGCATTCTCCACTTGCTTCTTCTCACATTCCCTGCTCTTTCTCATCATCCACTAACCCCACAGGAACCCCGTGTACACACACCAGCCCATCAAGCATGTTATAGGCCATGCAACTGACATTTTACTATGTACTCTTCTGTTTATTCTTAAGTTCACTGTAGAAAGAAAGTCATCATAGTGGGTATTTAATTAATTCTCAGGTGAGATTGTCCCTTTGCCAGTTAGATTACCAATGTAATTTGACACTCTTATTATTTTACCTTAGCTATTTAGTCTGCTAGAAATGGACAAAATACATCTTTTATGAAGCCATTCTGAAAGCTTGTATTTTATTTTATTTTTATTCTTATTTTTTAAAATATTTTTTTATTTATTTCTAGGAGAGAGAGAGACAGCGTGAGCAGGGGAGGGTCAGAGAGAGAGGGAGATACAGACTCTGAAATAGGCTCCAGGCTCTGTGGCAGTCAGCACAGAGCCCGACGCGGGGCTCGAACCCACGAACCGCGAGATCATGACCTAAGCGAAAGTCGGACGCTTAACCGACTAAGCCACCCAGCCGCCCCTGAAAGCTTATATTTTAGATGATTAGATTTACTTTTTCATTTAAATTTTCCTATATTGGTCATTTTAGTGTATGTTCATGTAGACAGAAATCTCTTCTGTCCAACTCTAGGCTATCGAGAAATTATCTTTAATTTTGGTAGAGTGAAAATAGTAAGTCATTTCCTTAAAACATAACAATGCAAAAACAACACAGGATTATCACTCCAATGGAACTCTGGCAAATGCCAACAGAAAATAAATTCTGAACAGCTTCTAGACCCTGCAAATTGAATTTGGATAGACGGCTAGAAATATGAACTATAAATATACTTAGTTTAATTAGCTAAGCTTATGAATAAATTAGAAATTAGTATTATACAGAAATACTCTCTTACCTAACCCTTTCCCATACTGTTTTCTTTTCTACTGTAACAGCTTGTACTCCTTTTTTGTGATTGGCATTGATAGGTTGAACACCCACAGACTTCAAGCTTTAAATAGTTAAACCAGTCAAGATATTTGGTAGTAATATTGCATACATTGTGGCCCATTTATTGGGAGCCATGACCTAATGGATTTCTTTTTTTCTGAGACCTATTTCTTTTCACAGCAATAAGACATGGAGAATCTCTTCATGGCTATTTCAGAACACTAGTCATTGATTTCATTTATCTGAATCACAGACTTTAATTTTCTGGCCTGGAGTTTATTTTCCACTGGGCACATTTCCCAGGAAATAATGAGTATTTGCTTAAACATACAGCATCTGTGATTTTTCTTTTGCAATTCACTTATAGGAGAACCCTGTGTTATTAATAGCCTGGGGCAAAGGTTCTATGAATGAGACTGAATGAATGGCTTTTCACTTTCATATTTCCTGACAAACGACAGATGGTGTAATATAAATACCCACTCCCTCAAAAGATGTAACTGAAAACGCCTTCCATTAAAGGTAGACACTAGACCCAGTGCTAATGAGGAAACTGACCTGGGATGTAGTCACCCTTTCAACGAGCAAGGAAACAAGCTCACACCTCTCCTCTCTGTCAATTGAAGGGGCCTCAGATGCCTTTTCAAGTTAAATGTAAAGTCTGTGTGTAAAGTCATGCTTTCTACAGGATGATGGTGATTCCCACCAGTCTCATTTCCAACTCATTCTCTAACTGGGCAGTTTCATCCCCACCTAAGTATTCTCAGAAGGGACGTGCCAAACCGACGATGGTGCTTACATGTGGTGCAGGGAGAAAGGCTAGAACTGAGTGAACCTCAAAAGTGCTTCAGCCTTGCCTCTAAACAGTCTAATTGTTTCACTATTATATATTATTATTATTCATTATTATATTAACTAAAAAAAAAACAAAAAACAAAAAACCTTTAAACTCTGCATGTTTCCTGTGCTCCAGCCCATCCACTTCCTGAGCCCTGGTGTGACTGTGATTTAGGTTTTTCTCTAACTCAGTGTTTTCTGTGTTACTATTGACAGGTGTATCCTTAAAATCCTGCCCCTAACCTCTACTCCCACTTTGATTAAAATTTAGTGTATTTCTATGGGTCCAGAGTATGTATGAATAAATACATGTTTGTTTATATATGACCTTGATCTTGTAATTAATTGTTCCCTCCCCTCTGAATCCTTAAGCCTTTAGTCCAGATAAAACTAGAACGTATCGGGGCACCTGGGTGGCTCGGTCGGTTAAGCGTCCAACTTCAGTTCAGGTCATGATCTCACCGTTCATGGGTTCAAGCCCCGTGTCGGGCTCTGTGCTGACAGCTCAGAGCCTGGAGCCTGCTTCATATTCTGTGTCTCCCTCTCTCTCTGACCCTCCCCTTCTCACGCTGCCTCTCTCTCTCAAAAATAAGTAAATTAAAAAAAAAACAAAAAACTAGAACTTATCAAAACTGATTTATTGTGTATGGGTATTTTTTTCTTTAATAGCCCAAGTAATCCTTAAAAGACAAGACCATATGTTGTTCACTCTTGTAATCTCAGAGCCTCTTAGACATTCAATGTTCATTTTATCAATGAATGAATCATTCACTCATAGAATGGCTATTCTGTAATGCCACAGGAAAGAGCTGCTCTTATCACTATTATCAATGCCATTAAAAGGATGCTGTTATCTCTTAGTCACAGTAGGGACCCTGAGAGATGGCTATTGAAAGCTCTTCCTGATCTCCCCATTTCAGGGCTGCTAATACTCAGAGAAATGCTCCAGCCTACCAACCTGCTCGGAGTACTCAGTGTTTGTATTAGATAATAATTACTAAATTGCCCATCAACTTTCTTCTTTGGGAAATCCTTACTTTGTTTTATCATTTGTTTGTTAATTCTCTTTCAATGCTTCTATTTATTGGTCAGCCCTTAGTGCTCACAAGAGGGCAACCCCATTTGGCACATGGTACAAAATTCGGGGTTCTTTTTTTTTTCCCTTCATGGCCTTGGAGATCAGGAGGCATAAAAGAAATACAGGAGGATGACAAGGACACATGAATTAGAGAAAGGGGAAATATCTATGGCACCATTAGAAGGAAAGAGCCACGGACAGGTTGTCAGCTAACAGTTCTAAGGAAAATAAAGCAAGAGGATGTCTATAGGGAATATGGTATAGTTTAATAGTGTTTTGTTTTGTTTTTTCCCCTCAGTAATGGGAATCTTACTGAAGTCTGTGGTAGAGATAGTGAGCAGTCGAATGAAATACTTATTATGCTTAGTAACAGAACTCTGAATTCATTTGGGGCAGCAATATGTCCAGCCAAAATACAATCTGGTAGTATGGAGGCTGTAACCGAGTACTGGCCAATAAGATAGAAGTGGAAGTGATGTGGAACTTTAGCAAGTCTGTTTAACAGTGAAAAGGTACACCCTTCTTTTTTCCCTCTTCATGTCAGAGAATGCAGATGTAATCACTGATTTCAATCAGCCATTTTGGACTATGAGGAAGCATGCTGAGATCAACAGAGCCACACCTAGAGAACCCACCAGGATTGCCTTTCACTAGACTTTTAACATGAGAGAAATTAACTTCTATCTTTCATAAGCCACAGTTACTTGGGAGTGTTCTGAATTTACTCCTAATTGGTAAACTACTCTTGTCAAGGAGTTTAAGATCCAGAACAAGAATATTTGGCACAATGTAAAGGTTTAATAGAAAGGTATACTTAATTCTGTGTTATGAACAATTGAGCTACAAGGAAATAATATTTTAGATTCAGTAAAGAAATTAGGTAAACACAAAATAATAAAATGTTTATGTGAATATGGAAACATGGAGAAAGATGAGGAAGAATGCATAAGGTTATTAATACTGATTATACATACTTGCATTTTTACTTTTTGCAATGACTGAGTAATACTTCCAAGGTTTAAAAAACTGAAAACAAAAAAAAACCATTTTAAGCTGTAAATAATGACTGACAAATATTTCTATGAAGGAAAATTATATTGATTTATCTATATTGGATTATTTGAAGAGGGAATTGTATAAATCTGTTTTTAGGCCCTTGGATACCTGTATTCTTATCTGTGACCCACTAACAACTAGATGTGGAATCTTGGGGAAGTCATACTCTAGAACTCAAAATGAGAAAGTTAGTAAATGAACTTTAAAGCTTCTTCTAGCACTAAAACTCTGAATTTAATCATATATTTGTTTCAATGGATATCTAACTGTACCTACTATAGTCTGATTTGCATGAATTCAAAAGTTGTTAAAATAATAGTTATGTGGTTCTTAAGAGTGAGGAGTGTCACACAGTCCATCTCTAGAGGCTGGGGGGCTCCAGTGGGGCAACCCCACCTGAAGCCCTTACCTTGGTAAGGCTAGGCGAGTGCCATCAATGAGGACAAAGGACTACCCCATTCTCACTGTTGTCCTGTATGCACTCTGAATTAATGACGCACTCTCTCCTCACACACCTTCCCAAGTAAAAGCAAACAAGGAAAGTGACAGGATGGCTCTATTTCCAACCGCAAACAAGGTTGTCTCCCTGCCCTCTTTCTTAGTGATTGTTCTTCTGCTTCAAAGTGGGTTCAAGAGTAGCTACTGCCCAGGAGACAGGTGCAGAGCACCCCGTCCTTTTCCCTGGCACTCCCTCTTTCCCTGCTCTTCTAAGAAGGATGCTCTAAAACTGATATCATTGAACCCCTCATGTAGAAAAAAAGGTGGTCTAAATATCATTTATACATGCCTTCCTCATGGAGACTCTCATCACACTGTAAGCATTTTAAACAGAGATATTAGGAGTTAAAAAATCAGATCATGAAGTAAAAACAGATTTCATATAACAAGAAAAGTAAATATCAGTATTAAAGAGCATACCGCAGTACCCTGGGGTTCCACACACAGTCTTCATGAGCACTTGATGTTCCACAATTTTGGAGAGTCCAAAATCAGCTAACAACACAAGAGAAACATTTAATGAAAGAAGTCTTTTCTCAGCCTTTATAAGATGACAGAATACTTCTGTTACTTAATTGTTTTTGTATTTGATGATGGATAGATATGTAGTAGGGGACCAGTCACATGGGAGAGGGAACTAAAAAAATAAAATAAAAAAAAATAATGATAATAATAATTCAAGTCTTTCTTTAAAGTGGAGAAAAGTATGACTCCCAAACACATTTTATAGTTTTCTCTAAAATCCCTAGTATTTAGCAAATAAGCTCTTTTTTCTTGAAGTAATAGTTGTAATAGATATATTTGTCTAATATTAATTCTGAGATTTCTGAAACAGTAACTCTAAAGTACAATATAGTGATACAGAATTAGTAATCTCTTGGAAAAAATCAAAATAAAAAATTAGGTTTTCATGAATGTCAAAGAAGTTAACAGAAATATCAAAACATTTATTCTGCTTCAAAATAATGTCATTCCTTAGTGTATTTGATGGATAAGGATTTACTCTCAGTGAGAAATATAACCCTTATTATTATTATTATTATATTCCTCAGAATATTACATAGATAAAACACTACCAAAGTTGCTACCATTATGGTCTATTTGCTGGGCTCATCTCTCTCACTCAGGAAACATCAGGAAACCGTTCAAGGCCATTCTTCAAGAGAGGCAGGTGCAGAATTGATGCCATTTTAGACTTCAAAGATAAACCCACATTTCCACAGAGGTGCTGATCCTTATCAGGGAAAGCAGCAGGAAGTTCTTCAGAAAGAAAGCCTCTCCTGTCTAAATTAGTATCTATCCATCCATTTAAAGAAATTTAAGGATAAAATCTTTGAAAGTGATGTCAAAGGAAATGGAAGTCTCCCTGCTGTTCACTGCCTTTCAGGAGTGATTATAAGAACAAGCCAGCAGCCTGGCAGGACTTTGGTATTTTTTCTTTGGGTTCTTGCATTCATAAAGCACATTATGTTGTCTGAGCTCTTCCATGATATGTATAACTTAATTTTCAAAGATGTTAACACTTTTAATGCAGTGTACTGATCAGATTAACATTACACAGGCCAGCACCAAAAGAGCAATGTCCTTCACAGGATTTAAGGCAGATCTATTAAGGAGAATTCATGTAAGATAAATTTTATTATTATTATTTGCAAATGAACATTTGCTTTGGAAAGTAGCATTTAATATATATATACTTTTCTAAAATGCTGATTTAAGGAACTCTTTTGAGCAGATCGGAATTTCACAAAGTTCATCTTTGTAGTTCTTCAAAATGCTTATTGGGAGAAAAAACAAGGTTTCCAAGTCAAATAAGGTTTGGGAAAAGTCTCACAGTACACTAATTTAGATGTCAGTTTACACATTAGCATTTTTAAAGTTCTGGGAAGTCCTGCGCAAATAAAAAGTCGTGTTTAAGTTGGCGTTTCCTACCTTACTTAACCAACCTTAGCACTTCCACAAACCACTCCCACCTCCCTCAGAGGGAATTACAGTAGTTAACCCCTGTTCACTCAGCTCAGGAACCAGCGTTCTGTGGAGTGTACTTGGAGAAATACAGATCTCAGTTTCTCTCTGTTCACGTAAACAAGGGACTCAGATCCTAAATTCATGGATACGTACTAAGCATTTTGTGTCAAAGTTCTTGAATATCTAAAATTGAGCTCCAACTGACTTGTGGAATAAATAAATAAATAAATAAATAAATAAAATAAAAAGTAACAAAAAAGAAGTGTTATGTTATCTGAGATTTTCTTCTATATAAGCTTATCTACAAAATATACTGTCACCTCCTGCAGCCCCTGCTGTTTCTAAGAGTCGTGTTTCCTTTGTGTCCAGCATGGAGCACCAACTTCTAGGCACAGATTCCAGATTAACAGTTCAGGAAAGAACGCAGACTTCCAAATAATGCATTACTCCTTTACAGACACCAGATATTCAAGGAAATTACATGGAGGTAAAACTGGATGGAGCAATATTTAAAAATTCCATGGAATATATTTCTTCCACTCTGGGAAAGGAGTCATGATAAATTAGGAAATGTCCTCACCGATTTTGAGTGGTGCATCTGGGGCTGGCGTTGCATAGAGAAGATTCTCTGGTTTGAGATCACGATGGACAATCCCATTTTCATGTAGGTACTAAAGAGGGAAAATAATGAAGTAACATTACAGTAATTGTACTTAATGGTTCCAACATTTATGTTTAATCTTTTCAGAATTAGAATGAACTTTACTAAGTCATGTGATTCGACAATACACACATATGATGATTTTAAAAATAAATACCATAAAGGAAAACGAGTTTATACTATACATAATTCAAGAACAGTTCACAGTTACCTAAATGTGAAATGCATTTTAAAGTGTATAAAACCAATTGCTGGAAATAAAATATTTACTCATCAGAGAATATTAGCTGTAGTTCTCTTTATGCATATTACCATATCAGCTCAAATCTGCTAATTATTATTATAATAAAATCAAGATTCTGTGTATTGAAATTTGCTTTATTATCTGAAAAGCATAATTGTATGTGTCATCTCAGAAGCTCACAACCACAGCAAAGACTTACTAATAATTGTTTGAACAGACATTTAGATGTGAGTAATTATTATAGAGGACTATCCTTAATATGATAAATATTGCTTAAAGATGATGAATGCTCTCCTAGGCTCTTCTGAGGATTAGTAAATCCAGCTATCAATACAGAGTGGTATATTGCAGATGATCTTAAAGATCGCCTCTAGCAACTCCACTCATTTTATTATATTTTAAATAATTTCATAAATTACATGTAACACACTCCTGCTGTGAGTATGGAGCTCTTACCTGATCCTGCTTCCTCAAGTCTCAGATCCCTCTTCAAAAGTAATCACTCATCAGTTTGAAATGGTTTGAACTTTCTTCTGTGAATTCACAAACATGACTATATGTATGCAAGGAAATATCCCTGATCTTTCCGTTTTCTTATAGAAATATAATAAATACTAATTTTTATACTGCTTTTTCCACACAAAATGTCTTTGAAACTTTTCTACAAATCACTACAGCTTATTCTCTATACCACTTGCTTGTCTCCATTTTGTTGGAAGCATAATAATTTATTTTTCTAGTCCCTTTTTGATGGAAATTCAAGTTTTTAAAAATTACAAATAAGGCAGTAATAAACCTTCTGGCACTTGGATATTTGGCTAGCTTTGTTGGTGTTTCTCTAGGACAGATACCTGGAAGCAGGTATGGTGGGGTCAAAAAGTAGATTTTAAATGTTAATATATACTGCAAAATAATTTTCCTAAAAGACGCTACTCACATAAACAGTGTAAGTATTTATGTTTTCCTGACATCTTCAGCAAATCTGTATTTTTAACTTTTGCTGGGCTTTAGTGTAAATATTATATCTTAGGTGTGGTTTAATTTGTCTTTCTGTGTTTACTGGTATATAGTACGTGCTTATTGGTTTTCCTCTTCTATGAATTACCTGTTTATATCCTTTGCCCACTTTTCTGTCGGGTTGAGAGAAAAAGTTGCCAGCGTACTTCAGGATTTCTCCTTTCCTATCTCCTATGGGAAGGGAAGGAGCCTTCTCTCTTTGCAACCCAAGTAACAGAAGGTAGATAGCTTCAAGGTCATAATTTGTGGTGCTTGACATGTGTCAGTGATTTGGGGAAACAGGAACTCATATCCAGCTCACTCATGAAAAACAGAGACGGCTGGAACAGGTGAGTGAGGAGAGAGGGCCTCAATGAGATTCAGCTGCTCTCAAAGAATAGCTAAACACAGGTGTGCTTTTCTCATGACGGTTCAGTGTGGACTGTGCAGAAGGGAACCAGACAGGAGTCTCCCTGAAGAATGTTTCCTGCCGGGGTGATGCCATCTCATTTCAGCATCACAGTAAGCAGAACATGAGGAAGGTGACAGCAGGCAGTTGAGGAACTGCTGACTCCTCAGACCACCTGAGGTGAGAGAACTGCCCTGCAATGGGTCTCTGTAGAGCCATCAATGGCATCCCTTAGGGAAAGAGCCTGCCACACCCAGAGATCACAGATGCCAGATCATAACTGTAGCAGTCTGGTGAGACCTTTCTTCACCATCCATCTCCTCTCCCTCTCCTGTCACTCTCACAACAACTCTAGAAGGAGCACAATCAGTTGGTGGGTAAAAAGCAGGAGGAAGAGAAGAAGAAACTAACAAATATTCCTATCCCCTATATTTAGAAATTATAGATCTCTCAGGTCCATGTTGGGGGAGGAAGACATTTAAAAGTTGGATGAGTCTAAAATTTTGGTCTTTTCCTTATCCAAGACGACTGGAAAAGTTATGGGAATAGCTTGAAATTTTATTCATGAAGGAGAGGAACGGGTTCACAGAGTCGATCTGCCAGGACAATGGTGAGATAAAATAAAGCTGCTTCTGCTCATGTCTCACCAGGCTGAGCTCACTCCTTACAGTAGATAATGATCATGTATAGATAATAATACCATATGTGTGCTATGCACATCCTATATTCCAAGCACTATTGCAAACACCTTGTACCTGCAAATCCTATAATGCCTGTTCTGCAAATGAGAAAACTGAGGCACAGAGAGGCCAAGTGATGTGCTCAATGTCACAACGTGTGGAGTTGGGGTTCAGATGTAGGTGTCCATAAGTAGAGGCCATAGCCTTGCCTGTTATGTGACTCCCAAGTAGATGCTGGACCATGTGGCGTGGGGATGAGAGGAAACTCACAAGGATGGAGAGGAGGGGAGAATGATGGAAGGAGCAGGAAGGTAATGGGCAGGGGAGGAGAAATGATAAGGCCGAGGGCCATGTTCAGCCTTCAGTGACACCCAGGGAAAACCCACCAGATCCTTGAGAAGGAATATGCTTGTTATATAAGCTCAGTTTGAAGGCTTTCAATACAGTTGCTTTGGAAGATACCTAAGAATTGCAGTTTGGAATCAAAAGAAAATATTGATCTCCCCCGAGTCTAACCCAATTTAGAAGTTCCACTGCTTTGGGAAGAAACTGACATTGAAGATAGCAAAACAAAAACAAAAATAAATGAGATAAATTTACAAGTATTGATTTAGCAGAGTACTAATTATATAAAGACTCTCACCAACTATTATTCTGGCTTTCTAGAACAGAAATGGTAGTTTTGTGTTCTAAGTCCAAATTAAAACAAAACAAAACAAAATGACACAGTTTGGCACTTCATAAAGGAGAGCTAGACCAGATAACAGAAAAAAAAATTTAGAGAAAATAATACATTTGGGAGCTATGCACCAACAGAAGAACAAATTTAAAAACAAAATAAAGCAATGAAATACTGAAAGTCATGATCCTGGCTTTTAAAAATATAGGCAGGGATTACTTACTATAAATTACTTGGAGCAGAAAGATATTAAAAGTCGAGATACAATCATGTACACATGTGGTAGGAGGCATTTAAATGCATTTGACTAACAAAAATGGCAGGAATCATTGTTTTATTTTAGCTGAGATCCACTGATTGCCTTTAACCAATAGTTAATATTTTTACCTTTTATATTATCTCTAGTTAGGAAGCGAAGCAAAAAGCAAAGGGTGGAGCATGATCTTTTGCCTTCCCCGCAAAAGATACAATTGTTAGAAGCAGCAAACTTATTAGAGCACCAGTTCGTAAGCCTTTTGGTCTCAGGACTCCTTTAGAGTAAAAAGGATTACTGAGAACCTCAAAGAGCTTTTGCTTATGTGAGTTATATCTAACATTAGCTATTATGTTAGTAGTTAAAACTGAGAAATTAATTGGTAATTAAAAAATTACCAATTTATTTTTAAAAAACAATAAATTAATGACACATTAACATAAACATTTTCTAATAGAAATAACTATTATCTAAAAAAATAGTGAGCGCTGTGCTATTGTCTTAAAGTTTTACAGATTTCTTTAATTTCTAGTTTAATAGAAGACGGTTAGATTCTCTTATCCGCTTCTGCACTGTCTATTGTAAAATCATACATCATGCAGACTCTGGAAAATTCCACTCTACTTTCATAAGTGAAGAGAAATGTCTTCATATTATGACAACATACTTTTGACCTCACAAATGCTCTGAAAGGAGACGCAGGGACTATAGAGGACTCTTCACACAATACTTAGAAAATTTCTGTCTTAGAGCATCTGAGGACATAAAAAGAGCAGTTTAAGGGCTGAATAATAGGCATGCTGCCCTTTATTTTTAAACTGGGTTTTAAATGAGATATACACTTCTAATATCACCAAGTGCTAATCTTACCTTGCCACATCAAGATAAGTAGAGAAGTGAAAAGGAAATTAAGGGGAAAAATGCCCCTTAAAATTGTGTACTCATAGGAAATTATGCAAAGACATTTTATGATATCATATTAATGATACAGAATGGATTAAGAAATATCTAATTATGGAGAAAGAGACTTTATTAAGATACTGTTGATCTTAGCTACTGATCATTTAAATCATGCGGATTCAATATAAACAGACAAAAGGATTACAGAAATTGAGAAACTTGAGATAACTGGATATTCCAGAATAAGTGTTGAAAGTGATCATAATTAAAGTAAATCAAACACAAGCAAGGAAACTTTGAAAACTAAACACCACTTTGGAAGAAGACCTCTAAAACCTAACAATTTAATGGACCGGAAATAATAAATCTGACAACAACTGTAGCATTTAACTACTGACTCTTGACTAATTGTAACCCTTAATAAATTGGAGCAGATAACTAGGTATCTATGAATTTACTTAAAACTTTGGGGGAATAAAAAAGAAGAAGGAAAAGGAAGAGGCAGAGAAGCACAATTTACAGGCTCAATTTTTTTAAAAACGATATTATCATTTTAGAAAAAAGCATAAAATAACAAATATTTTGTCTGCAGAGTAATCAAGATAAGCAATAGGTAGGTTTTTAAGGATTATGTAATAATGCATTTAATTCACCGGTGCCAAGTGCATACCTTTGCCAAGTTCTCTTTCATTATTATACCCTCGGTTTCGAGGGAGGATTGATAAAAGAAATAAGCATAATAAGGTTTTTGTGGCATTGTTTTTGAAATAATTACTGAAGAACAACACCATGAGAGGCACTCTGGGGCCATATACCCCAAGCATGCCATTTAGTTTCTGTGTGGCCTGA